ATCTCCCCACTTGTTATACCTTGCCCACGGGACAACCAGAGACACATGCTCAGAAGAACGCAGCGCTTTGACCGGGGTATAAATGGTTAAAAGATCGGTCAAATAGACTGGCGCAAGACCATTAATGGCCTTGAACACAAAGTAAAATTTAAAAATCTATTCTAAACTGTACCGGAAGCCAGTGAAGGGACTGAAGAACCGGGGTGATGTGAGCATTTTTTGGAGTGTTTGACAGTAGGCAAGCAGCCGCGTTCTGTACGAGTTGAAGCCTCTGGAGTTGAGACTGACTAATTCCAGTATAGAGGGCATTGCAGTAATCAAGTCATGAGCTAATGAAGGCATGAATGGCTTTTTCTAGGTTGGCTTGAGATAAGAAAGGTTTCACCTTTGCTAGGAGCCTCAGCTGAAAGAAGCTTATTTTGACCACCGAACTAATCTGCTTGTCAAATTTGAGGCTGCTACCAAATAACACTCCCAGGTTTTTCACAGTTTGAGTGAATAACGGGGCTGAAGCTCCTAGGCCAGATACAGTGTGAATGGGGTCCGGGCTAAAAGTGATGTATTCAGTCTTCCTCTCATTTAAATGAAGGAAGTTCTGTACCAGATACCAGATGATTTGTTCAACATAGTTTTCGACCTTGCTGTGTTCACTCTGTTTCAGACTGGGTGCAGCCCCGCCTCTGCCTTTGCATCTTTCAGCAAGCAGCCATCAACTCCACCCAAAGCGGACAGACTGGATAGGAGCACTGCAGGACTTCTGCACAGTCTCCCTGACACTCTTGCTTCCAACATCCCCACTTTCCCTCGGTCAGTCTCTCCAGCCTCCTACAGTCCTCCAGCAAGTCCACTAGAGGGTGATGTGGTCATTCCTTGTGAATTCTGTGGCATTGCTCTAGAAGAGGCTGTCATCTTCCACCATCAGGTACAGTATGTTGTGAAACACATTCAATTATTGATGCTAAATTACTTTCTTTCTTTCTCAGGCTTATTTAGAGCTCTTGGCATGCTCTAGGGCATCTTTAAAGTATGGCTATACTAATGTCAGTTAAATATAATTCAGGAATCTCTGCTGTACTGATTTCTACATCACAACTTCAAGAACCACCCTGTTAAGATTGTTAGAGAAAATTCATTCAAGAGTGTTAAATAATCAACATTAAAGAGTAAAAAAAAGATTTTCAATTGCATTCATGTTTTATTTGTCTTTTTGTTTGTTTGTTTTTTTTTTTTCTAGGACCAATGCGATATGCGTCCTCAGACTGCCCGTCCACTAAATAATATTACAAAAGCAAACATTAAACCACTGAGCCCTGCTAAAGACACCTTTGGGCAAGTGTCTCCAGAGGTTCAGAGGAGAATAAAGCACCAAGGTAATGTAAAAAAATGTATTCACAGTATTATAAACAGGTAAAAGTCAGATTGAAAACAAATCTGTTATTGAAAAAGTCTGTGAAATCTGATTAAGGTTAGCATATAGCTTACACACTTTTGATGTATTTATTTTATGTGAACTACAGTGAAGAGTGTTCTCAATGCATCGGGCTAAATTTAATTAAAAATAAATCACCATTCATTAGCCTGGACCTTTGACTTGCTAGCCCTTCATTCAGCATTTCAAATAGTATAGAAATAATATTGATAATGAACGCATGAAATGAAAGAATGGGTGATTCTGCTTAACAATCAGGGTGGCTAATTATTGCAGCTGCCTTATGTTAAATACTAATATATCCTACCTTTTAAAAACCTACACATACTGTATGTTGATGAAACTGGTGGTCATTTTGGGACTGTAGTGTTTTGTTTTATATATTACATAATCTTTTCTTAACATTTGTGTAATATTTAGATTTCACATGTATGTAAATAAGATTAGACACTCTTACAGAAAATTAAAAAATTAATTTCATAACCACAGTCTGACTGAAAACCAACAAACGCTGAACATCCAAAGTGTGTTTATAAATCCGTTTTATGCAGTTGTATTCTAGAGGGTCTAGTCACTGTTGATGTATATTGTGTGTGTGTGCGTGCGTGTCTCGTTCCATCTACAGCCAATGTCTTGGATGATGACTTTGGCAGAGAGCCACCACCAGGACAAAGCCTAAGGGAATTGCAGAGAGGCTACATTGGACGACCGAGTCAAAGGAAGACCTTCAACTATGACGTTTCCGTACAAAGCAGACCTCAGCAGGGGAGGGACGCAGGAGGGGCGCACGCGCTTTTCTGTGACACGGACAGGTCAGGCTCTGCATCTCTAAAGGGGTAAAAGCAACGAGCAGGTCCAATCAAAACACATTTTTAAATGTTATTTAAATAACTTTAGCTCTGCTTGATTGGTTTACTGTTTTTTTAAATACATTTTAGATGATATTATTAATATTCTGATTTGAGTTTGTTTGTCTACTAGACTACAACTACCAGAAAATATAGAAGGGAGCAGAAGGAATCCAGCAACAAAGGTACACTGAATACTTTGTCAAATTAGATTTGTTTAAATAAGGGTCAGTAATAATCGCATGCCTCACTGTATATGTGGTCAAAGCTGAAAGATGTAAAACACGGTACCAAGGTGGGAACACACAGACTCCTCCAGTAGAGTGTTGGTTTAGATACTGTGATTTTTTCAGGGCTTTTTATAAACACAAATTCCACTCAACAGGATTTATGCCACTCCACACATTTTCCTGTCTATAAAAGGAATTCCAGTAGTGTTGTTGTTTTTTTTCCTCATTTGCAGTTGCCCAAGAAGCAGAATGAAGAGCAGCAGAAAGAGTGAGAGCAGGGACATCTTGGAACCAAATCTTTCACTCTGTATTTCATTTATCTTTTGCACACTTCTGGAAACTGAACGTACCTATCTGAGAAGTGCCTGTGTGCTAGTGTCTTGAAGTTGATAACTCTTAAAATCTAAGAACGTAATTTGGTTTATTCATGAATATTCTTTGCTTTGTTTGCTTGTATATCTAACATCTGGTCTTAACAGATGAATTATAAAATGGATTGTATTCACAGATTGATTTGATGTTGTTTTTTTTTTTTTTTCCTTTAACTGAACAAGTGGCGTCATGGCTTAGTTCAGTGTACATTTGTCTGACTTAACTTTTACCTTTTCACTTCAGCCAAGGATATTGTGTGTTTCACCCCTGTTTGCCAGGTCTTTCACGGCATTTCTCTATGTTCCTGTTGGATTCAACGTCTCTAAGTAACCTAAAGCACTTTGATAGATTATTTTGGTAAAAGGGCTTGAGGATCAGATTTGATAAATTTATGCATCTTTGACCAAGAAAAAAAATTACTTGATTATTGAACCTTTTGTCTTTTTTATACTGTTGAACATGTCTTTAATACTCTTAAGTAATATTTTTATTGATATCTATAGAACTGCATTTATGGTGTTATGATAAGATGGCATTTGTCTGTCCAGTGTCGCTTTAAGGAGTATGAAAAATGTCTTGTTCCTCCAAATAAGATTTGACATCAATAAGATGTATTTTGTGTGTAACATAGGCACCTCTTTAGAAATGCATAGAAAATAGACCGCTCTGTGCCACCAGTGGTGGAGTCTGCAGATTTTCCTTTTAACTAAAGATAACGCCAGGACACTTTCCTGATTAACATATGATCATCAAGCCTAAGTGGAGAGCAGTAGTGGATCAGTGAAAACATCTGGTGTGGTGTTTAGTTGCCAGGTACTCCTGGCATGTAGCTGACTGTTCTTGTTAGAGAACAACTGTCTTGATGCTCACCGGCTTGTGTGGTTAATAAATGTCTTACTGAGTACATTCATGGTTTCATGGCTCCAGTTTGTATTGTGTCAGTGTTGCTTCATACCTCTTTATATGACTAACCCAAGCTAGTTTATATTATGCTACCAAATAACCTTAAATTACTGAATTTATGGCATTATCATGCTTGTAAATTGCATTGCAGTCTGTGTCCCTGTCAGCTTGTGGTAAATTGTAATGTTTACAGGTCAGCAAAAGCTTGATTTTGAAATAATTTATACATGAACCACTTTATTTTTTACTATAGAGTGCTCAGAGAACCCCCAAAGTACTCACTTTAATATAAAGTTGAAGTGAGTATTTGTGATTATTTGGTCATTAAAGAGAAAAGCCACTTGTAAATAGAATTCAAATTTGATCACTGCTGACTGAATCAGGGCCGTTTCTTCAGCGTCTGGTAGTGGTTAGTCTACCATGTTTAATGTTACTGAGGGACATTTTGCCCAGAGTGCTGCCTGAGAAATAGAAACTAAGGGGAAAAAGTTGTGTTGTACTAATCAGTTTTACTTAAACCACAACTGCAGTTGCCTTTGAATGACTATGTCTGGATGAGTCACTGTAAAACAACAAACGGGACCCATGGAAGATGCTGAGGACACTGAGGTCATGCCCTTTCCCCCCCTGGAAATTTGAGAGTTTACTTTCTACACTTAAAAATTTACATTTGGTGAGAATTTTTTGTTGGTCATTTTGACACTGATATTTAATTCGAATTAATTAATAAATTATTTAATTTGAAATGTATTCAATATATCTCCTACAGATATTCATGTCTGGCGACAATGAGAAGGGTTTGAAACAGACCCTTAAGTTGGAAAAATAAAATAGTATTGTTTTTTATGTGTGTGTGGTCCAGCATTTCCTTTAAAGTTCTTAAGAAATTTCCTGGAAAGAGCTCTTTTGTGTGATTGAAAATAACAGGCACAGAGGTTCTTTTAAGACCGCTTTAAAATTTTTGTCTGGAGTTTAAGCAGGTGCCGATTTTCAGAGGAATGTACTTGGAAAAAAACACTTGAATAAAATATTTTGTCCTTCTCTCTGTGCTGCATAATGGCTGCAAATCCGTTTCCGCACGCCAGTGGCACTTACTACCCTCCATACACGGACGTTATTTTTGTCTTCCCACAGAGCGGCGCGCTTTGAATGAGCTCCGAGACAACCGGTGACAGAGAGGGGCGGGGTTACACCTTTCTGCGAGAATCCTCCGTTCAAAAATCTGCCAACGTCCACTTGGAAAAGCGTGCGGGCCTGTTTTGGTTTTCACAGCAACTCAAGAGACGACAGAAGAGGACTGAAACATGCTCTCTGTAAACGCCTCACGAGTTTACGTCCGTTGAAGTTTCTCTCTCTGCTGAAGACTGAGACAGGCTGCAGTGAAAAAGTAGCTAAAGAGACTCTAGAGAACAGCGGGTTGTGCAGGTGGTTTGACCGGGAACCATATCACTGCAAGACAACTTCCAGACCCTCTTGTCTCACCTGAGCCTGACAAGAACGCTTAAAATGTCCGTGGAGAGCTACTCGGCGCTGGATGAGTCCTCTCTCCGAGCCCTGGTGAGTTGATGGACGGAGATGCACTGAGCTGAGGCTCTAATGAAAGCGAACCACAGTGGGGTTACTGCTACCAGCCCGGGACACAAAACAGGTTTACTGTCGCACTCAGGGATGTAACTCGGGTCATATTGCACCTGTTCACCATATGAAGTATCAGACTGGTTAATTAATACCTTTAGGCCTATATGAGTATAAGGTCTCACAAGGAAAAGTAATGTGAATTCATTTCTCATTATGCTACTGATGGTCTATTACAACATAGTGTAATACAACTACCTCGATTCATGGATGGATCATGAGACAGCGTGTAAAAGGCCCCTACCTTTCATAAACTTCTAGGAGCAAAACTCTCAGATCGAGCAAACACGGGATTTGTAGTCAGTTTGTGTCTTCTTGTGGTTGTTTTGTGTTCCTTTATAGGTGTTTTTCACCTGTTTGTGCCGGTTTGTACTCGTTTTGCATCTCTTTGTAATAATTTTGCACCCATTTCTACTGGTTTTGTGTCTCTTTTTGTACTTTGGCATATTTTTGCTGTCTTTGGGGTTTTTCCTGTCTCATTTTATGTCTCTTTGTAGTTGGTTTACAGCTCTTTTCCCCTCATTGTGTGGCCTTTGTAGTAGTGGTATAGTTTTTTGTTTGACTTTGCAACAGAGAGGTTAATCACTGGTGTAGGGGCCCCCCCTGACTCCACGGGCCCCTGGTCTGGCACCTGGTTGGTCTGTTTAGTAATCCATTTGTGTCTTGATTTAAATGATTACAAATTGATTACTGTTGGGTGTGAACCTGATGAAGTGTGTTTGAGTGCACCAGGTCAGGTGCTGCTGCTGAGCACTGTGCTCACACTGAGACTTATTTGAGCACAGACAATTCTGAAAACTACAATTTGATTAATTGATTTACGAGTCAACCAAAACCATGTCACCTTTTTAAAATGTGAGAATTGTTTTGGTCTTCATAACTGTAGATTTGGATTCTGGGCTGGAGATTGAGGGGGGGAACAGGCAAATTGAAGATGTCACCCTGCACTAAGATACTGTGATGGGCATTTTTGACCCTAAATGTTTTACCAATCAAAGACAGATTTATTCAGTCCACAAAGAAAGAGGTTAGCTGTAGCCCAATCTTAATCTGTGAAGAGGAGACCTGAAGTAAAGTTTTCTTGTGATACTTCATGATGGCACAGCAAACATGATAGTGGAAGAACAATATCTATTTCACTTGTAGGTGATTCACACTGAAACGCAGTACTGTCTTACATTAGTTTAAATAGACGATAAGTCACCAGCGTGAGCAGTAAGCCAGAGGTGATTAAGTGAGCGTTTACCAGGACAAAGATTCCCTGGTTCACAGTCACGTTAGTCATTTCCTAATGATTTCCTGAAGCAGACATTAATCTGCCTGACATCACATCATGACACCTGTAACACAGACACATTTACAAGGACGCATGAGTCAGCTTGTCCTAGACATAGTTACACTGTGTTCGCCTGAGTCACAGCTACACATATGAAACAACTGTGCATGAAGTACTTGTACTGAAGTTTGTCATTTTGTATTAGTTAATGTAAAATGAGCAAAAGGTTTACAATGTGAAAACTCATGTAATCAAAAGGTGTTTACCATTACAATACAGCTTTTTATCATAGTGATTATGACCTTTGTTTACCTTTGTTGCTTTTTTTTTCTGTCACTCAAAGCAAATCATCTGTTTTCTCTTAGCACTGCTGTAGGCGACAGTATCGAGTCTGTCGTCTCAGGACATGTCAGTCAGTCAACATTTATTTATATAGCACCTTAAAACGACTAGTAGTTGACCAAAGTGCTTTACAACAGTCAAATATAAGTAGTGGAATAAAATAAAACCAAATATAAGCAACTTGATGGAATAGAATAAAATAGGAGAATGTAAACACAAATGGAAATAAAAATGGGTTACATTCAGCTTTCTGTTCTTAAAGATCAGTAAAGCTGACAAGAAGAGGCTGTTTATTTTGGGTGTAGGCAGGGTATCAGTGTAACATTTTGTTGACCTGTCTTACGCTATTTATGCTGTATCTATTATTTTCCCTAAGTCTGGACTCATCTGGCCAAAAGCTACAGTGGCTTTCTTCTCATAAATCACTTAAAGGATAAACCACAAGCGACATTATAATTATGGGAGAGCAGGAGTACACTGGGGAAATAATATTTGTCTTTCAGCATAATGAATTACCTCAGTGGCTTTGATCAGTGAATTTATATAAGGAAAGAGGGAGATAAACTGAGTATAGAGGAGGAGGAAGGACTCAGAATGGGGGCGGTAAATTTTGGCACAGAACAGAAAGAGGACATCAGGCTTTTTGCTGGATCTCTTAAACTCTCTGTTAATCTGTTTGTTGTAGGTCAGTAGATATTTTTGCCATAATCCCATTACAGTTAAACTGATTTTATTCTAAATAGCAAGCTCTTCTGAGTCAAGAGCTTGCTGTTAAAACACTGGTATTGCCTAGAAAGCTCCAGCAGCAGAGTAAAGCAAGAACTGTGCAGATACTGGAATTTATGGGATTTATCTTCATGTGACACCGACGCTCAAGCCGATATTGTGCTCGGCTTGAAACGCCCCGTCTCCTCTATGCTGTGCTAACGTCTTTCCCACAGCCTCCCTCCTTCAGATGTGAACAGGTCACCAAGAGCCCACGTTTTCACTCATGATCTTTGTGGTGAATTGAGTGTCATGGTTTTCCACAGTGAACTTGGATTCAAAGGAAACAAACCTGCTGTTCATGTGGGCTTGTGATGAAATCTAAGCACCGTTCAACAGAGACATGAATCGATCCTTTTTGTGTTTAGATTTTATTAAATGTACAGTACTACCCTTTTCTGTGGCGTAAATATTGTGTAACTGCTGAAGAGGTTTGTAAATTACAAATAGTTCTCAGGACGCTAGTAAAAGATGATGGACATTTGCATTTATTAGCGTGCTAGTAAAGCTCGGGTGGAGGAGCTGCTATTAAAACAGTTGGATAAGGAGCACGAACTCTACCTAATGGTCTAAACAGTCAGCAGGTCATATGGCGGCCTCTCTAATGCCACTAATCCCATCTCCACACTTCCGCTCAAAGCCCGGTCGTCTTTTTTTATTTATCATTTAATACCCTCCATAGCAACCAGGAAAAGCATTTTCTCTTCTCTTGGCCAGCACAGTTATTTAAATATCCACAAAAACAGTCGGGTGGTGTCCCAGTTTCTTTGGCAGTGGAGCTGAGAGGATGTTTGCTCCAGGTCCATTTGTGCATGGTGGACACAAAAAGGCAAAACCTGCTGAGACCAGTGCTCTTTGCAAACAAAACTCTCCATCTGCTGTTTCTGATAGTGAGCTAGGAAGGTGCTTATTATCAGCGGTTACACCCATGAATCTGCTGTGTAGCAATAGTTTCCTGCGTGCCATTGTGTTAAACCTGCAGGGCGAGCTGGGTCTGCAGGTGCCTGCTGTTTGTCCACCTGACTACTCAGTGAGAATAAGCTTTGACTTTAGCATCTGTTGGCCACATCATGATCTCCGTTCCCTAACTGTCTTTGAACACCCCCTCCAAGCTGCTCTGCATCACAGTGCAGGAAAAGTCAGCATGTGGCGCCTTTATAAGTGAAATGTCACTGTTTTTATGACATGTGTGGTTTTGCTAATGCACAAGTCGGTCCCTTCATTCTTAGCAAACTTGACTGCTTGCAGACTTTTCCGTCTGTGGCGCCTGCTGGGCTGATTTCACATGCTGGATGTCTCACACAATGATTTGTAACTAGTGTTGTCAGCCCTGTGACCGTCTTCTCTCCCTGGTGAGAAAGAAGCATTCACACATTTAAAATAAGGCAGTTTCACCCTGTGGTCCGGCCTCTGTGATATATGGGACCCCTGGGCCTTGGTTTTATGGCTCTCTGGACCCTTTGTGTGTTGACAGCGGCTCAACCGTTACAGTCAGAGTGGAAGAATGGGTTCGTTTTGCAGGCTCTCGGTGCCGTCCCCATGTTCTCCTTGCCCCCTGAGGACATGAGCCAAAATGTCAGCCTCATCATCAAAAACAACAACAACAACAAAAAAAAGAAAGGAAAAATTACGCAGTGTTATATAATCATCATCTGGGACATTTTCAGATGTATGTGAAAGTGTGTTTTTATATCATTTTATACTAGAAATTAAAGTCATGTAAACGTAATGGGACCAAAATGAAGAAATGTAATTTTAAAGTAATCTAACTTAAATTGCAGCAAGAAGATTTTTCTTTCTTCATTCATTGCAGACTTGACTGAAGTGTTTTCTAAGATAAAAGCTGTTGCCAGCAGCCTCCTTTAAGTAGAGCTCCCTGAGTCCTCGGCATGTACACATACAAACAAAAGAGTCTCAAGTGTTAAATGCTCCTGAGCAGCGATAACACCTGCTGCGTCGGTTACTGCCTTTGACCTCTGTGGATTTTACAGCGCACACCTGAGTGGTTTTTCTTTTCCGCTGAGCCTGTCATCATTCTCACAGCTATTTACTTTCTTTGCATTTCCACAAAGTATTTCCTGTATGATTAAATTTCAGCACTGACAGCAGGGAAACGGTGATGAAACGAGCAGGCAGACTTCCCTCTCTAAGCTGGCACAGTACGAGTTATCTGCACTTTGGCAGTGACGGTACTTTGGCAGACTTCAGCCTTTGACAGTGACAATCTGTTTGCACAGCCAGGGAGCAGAGAGATAAGAGGTCACTGTTGCTGGACACTGCTATAAATAGCCTGCTGTATTTTGGCTCTGAAAGGATGAGAAACAAATCGGTGAACTTTGCTATGATCCGCATATAAACTCCAACAGTCTATTTTTGGTCTGTGGCCTTTTAAGTTTGTCGCTTATTGTTGCTGTGGGACAGTAACTCAGAGCGAATGTAACACATTTCAGCACAAATTTAGATGTATTTTAGCAAACATTTACTCCATGTACAAAGTTGAAATGGGATGCATTGTGTCGTGTTTCTCTATTAAAGTCAG